CACCCTCTAAACTACGGAGGGGCCCAAGTCAGCAGGAGAAAACTGTGGAGCTGCCATGTGAGCAGTCATTACATGAGGCCAGTGCCGAGAGTATGGCAGGACATCACATCAGCCAGAGGCTGGGGTGCATGCCAAGGAGAGGGCAGCTGATGCCCAGGATCGTCAGGACGACTATCCAGTGGAGGCCAGAGAGGGCCAAGAAGCACTGATGAGATATAGACAGGACGGGCCCCTGGCCGGAGAGAAGGAAAGGCGAGCAGGGAGAATCCTAAAAGACTACCTTTTAAGCCAGAAGTGACTGACACACTTTGAACTGGTAAGAGAACAGCTTTGACCTGGAATTGGGAGCTTGGAGCTAGAGTTTAGAGAAAGAAAGAACATTCGAAGATCATATACCCAGAGATGTTTCCCTTATTATTAGTAAACCCACTGTTTATCCTTGAACATTCATCTTTGCACACTGATATTTTATTTTTGTTGGATTAGTTCTGAGAAATGGCTTGTAAATGCTGTAGGTTTTAAAATACATATTTTATCCAGACATCTATTTAATTACATTATTAATTATAAGAAGTTTTTTTTATTGGTTCCTTTGGGTGGCCTAGGCATATCATCACATCCATGAATCACAGTACATATGTCTTCACATTTCCATTTGTTTCATGTCTTGTTGAGCAGATCAGACTTCTAGAACTACAAAAGATGTATATTCCTAATTTCAGAAGGAATAATACTTAACATGTCATTGAGCCATTGCTATGTGTCAGGCACAGTTCTAAGCACTTTATATATATTATTTCATTGTCACTACAACACTGAAAGGTAACATTCTCATTATCTCCATTTTGCAATGAGGAAACTGTGGCCAGATAGGTTAAATACCCTAAGCCAAGACAGGAAGTGGTAGAGTTGGCTCTGACTTAGAGCCTGCTGGTCTTTACCTCTAGCCAGGTGTGTTGGTAAATGTTTTAACATCCAGTTATCTGGAAAAAAAAATGTGCCCTTGTTTATACACTTGCCAATTCTGGTGGTGTAAATACTTCCTCCATGGGTGACCTGGCATCACTGAATGTGGGTTTGGGAAGAGATCCTCATAATTCCTTTTGGGAGCCAGAACTGGCCACTTCACCAGTTCAGCACACCACACACCACAGCCTCTGGTGTTACACCACAGGATGAAGAGGAAGTGCTGTTTAATAAGATACCTATTAACCTCCAATTCTTTGGTTTTCAGAAACACCAATCAGCTGGAGCTGGCCTAAGCAGAAGGTGGAATTTACTAGAATTGGTACAGTCTCAGAATGAAGAACAGGAGGCACTGGGAATGGGGAACAGGGCCATAGAAGGACTGGGAATGCAGAAAAGATGTGTTGTGGGGCCTCAATGGGTCTCCTGTCTCCGGTTCTTGCAGAACAATACCACCCATTGCTCCGTAACTTACTAAGTTTCCTGCCACCAGCTGGTACAAGGGTCAGCTCAGGCCAGTCAGCCATGACCATGTGACATTAGTGGGTCTGTTTGCCTGTGGTCATGAGCATATTGGGGATGTCAGTCTAGATGAGAATCAGGCCCTTCTGTCTGTGAAACTGTTCCACAAAAACCCATCTTCATGCTGTGGTCCTCTGGGCTCCTTACCATCTAGGCCCTGATGACCTTTTTGAATGACATCATCCCAGGCAGTTTCCCCTTTGCTCACTCTCCATCCTGCCCTTCACATTAGTCCTTGAGCATTACAAGCTCATGCTCACCTCAGGGCCTTTGTACTTGCTGTTCCACAGGTCTTCTCATGGCTTACACCTTCCTTCATTCAGAGAGACCCTCCCTGAGCACCTGCCTGAAACAGTCTACTCCATCCACGCCTATCTGCTTACCTGCTTCATTGTTCTTCACAATGCTTAATGTCACCCAAAACTGTACTATGTATTCGACTTTCTGCTCAGGGTCTCCCCACTGGGATGAGCCCATGGGCTCAGGGATTTTTGTCTTGTGTTTGGCTGTATTTTCAGCATCTGGAACAGTGCTTGGCATGGAGTAGATACTCCAAACCTATTTGTTGAATGCATGATTAAATGAATGATGAATGAATGAGTTGCAGGCTTATTATGAAGAATACACTTAAAAATAAACCTTAACTATTGACTTAGTTTTCAAGAAGACTTTTGTTTATTCTGTACTTGAATAAAGTAGTATTTCTTTAAAAATGAGATGTAATTCCGATTTTTAATGGTCTGGCCTTCCCTGACCTACCCCTTAATGTGCCTCCTCCCAAGCCCACCTTACTGTATCCTAAATCTCTGAGGTTTTGCAGTAATATGTAGAAATAGGCTTTTGTTGTTCATTTGAGGCAGAAATAGTAGAGGTTAAGTATGATTTGATGACCTGAATGCTGTCATGGTAAGGAAGGGAGTGGCACGGAGAACTGGTGTTTTGTTTTCTATTTTTAAAGGCTCTGTGCAAGCAGAAAACATTTCCATTTGTGTACAAGACTGTTTCACAGAGGATTCCTGCAAAAGTTCTCTGTAGTTAAACCCCTGTACAGTAACTCAGAATTATCATCCAAATAGGCAGCTGAGGAAAAAGGGCCCTCTTTCTGCAAAAAATAATTGACCAAAGCACATTTCCAAGTGTCTGTCAAAAGGAGAGACATTTATTTTTCTCATGAAAAATTCAGAGCAAGAAGGAAAATATTATTTTCACAAGAGAAGCATGCCTTTGGCCATAGACAAGATTTTTTTCTTTCCAAAGCTGAGGAGATTTTCAGTTGAAGGAAATTGACAACTTTGTCTCCAGGCTGAATTGTATAGTTTTCACCAGCAACAGCTGTGTTTACTGATGGCCCTATGTTGTCTCCAAAAAAAATTCAAGATTCAGTTAAAGGATTGGTGTTCTCAGACAATTACCAACAAACGTTCTCTCACTATTTGTGGAGCTCCAAGCTTCATGTTCTTACCTTTGAAAAATTACCTCAGAAGTTGACATATCTGGTAAAGTAGAATGTCCATACTGCTAAAGCTGTGGTTTCAATGTTGACTGCACCTTAGATTCACCTGGGAGCTTGAAAAGAAAATGCCCACCCATTGCCAGAGCTCTACCCAAGCCCAGATAAATAGAAAATGTGGGCCCATACATCCTAATTGTTTTGAATTTTTCAGTATTAGCCAGGTGATTCCAACCTGTGGCCGGCATTGAGAACCACTCCCCTCCAGCCCTTACCACAGTGTACAGCTGAATTCCATCCTGGATGGGCATCTGGTGGTGGTGCCCACTGATCCTGCTCCCAGGCCAAGTTGTGAAGGCGGTTAGGTGTGTCCTCACTCTCTCACCTGCCTCTCTGTGCCCTTCTCCCCACTCCTGGAAACATGCCCCCCGGGGTATTTCTCAGGTGTTCTTGCTCTGCCCTGTGCCCACAGTTAAGCTGTTGGGCCCCAAGGAAATTCTTCCTTGCTGAAAAACAGTCCCACAATGTTCTCACCCTTTCCAGAGTAGTGTTATCCCTCTCGTCTCCCCACTTCCCCCAAACAAACAAACAAACAGCCCACCGCATAATAGAAAAAAATGTGGAATGTCACATAATGCAGCTGGTGAGTTGGAGGTAAAATTGAGGAGAAGAGGGAAGTCCTTCTGGCTTCCATCAGATCCCTTCTGGTAAGCGATGGTCTGTTCCAAAGGGTGGTTCTGCGGGGGACTCTGGCAACTTATTCAGCCTCTCTTTCTGTGCCTCAGTCTCCTCATCTGTCAAGTGGGGATGATATAAATACTGACCCATAAAGTTATTGTGAGGATTAAGTGTGTGAGGCATTTGAAGAGCCCTGATACGTACTAAGAGGCTGATGTACTTTAGCTGTTATTACTATCATCATTATCAGTGTTATAATTTCAAATTCTTGAATTTATAGTAAATTGGTATGATATATAGTTATTAGTTATTACTATTACTAATATATAGTGTTAGAATTATTAGTATTGTAATTTCAAATTCTTGAATTGCTTAAGGGAGAGTCCCACATGGAGCAAGCAAGTACATTCAAATGGAGAAGGCATTATGAAGGATTGTCTTTTGCAGCGAACGCAGTCAGATAAGGTTTTAAAAAGTATTTTGAGCTATGATATCTTCATTGACATATGTATCTTGCTTCTGTATCTCAAGGCAATGTTTAGTGTATGCCATCCATTTAGATAGATAAATTCTAAGCGCTTTTGGAAAAAATGCCCTTTCTTTACTTGTATATCTAAGACTCCGGAAATGATTGAAATGAGAGTGAGCAAATGCATAGCTGGAGAGAGACAAGTGCCTCTCTAACTGACTAATTCAACACAAAGTAATGAATTCAACAAACATTTCATAAGAAACTCTGTGCCATATGCCATGCGAGGAAGTGGGGACACCACAGGGAGGAGACATGGTGCATGCCGTCACGTAGCTCACAGTCCTGTGTGCTTGTGGAAGCGGGTGTTGTCCAACTCCAAGTCACAGACCACCGCGATGAAGACATGCACAGACCCTGCTTTCTTCAGAATTGGTTTAAAGCCCCCAGATAAACCATAATGTGTGAGGGCACTATGAGGAGGTTGGACTTGTTTCTCCTCTCAAGGGTCTTACTTTTTTAGGAAGGCTGGTTGGTCAAACAACTTATATATTCTTTTGCAGGAAATATGCTTTTTTATCTGGCACAGAAAAGTAAGAAGAGTATTTCTCACAAAGAACTGGGAGCAGAAATGCCCAAAATTTCATTGGTATTTCCCTTTATTTCCCTTTTGTGAGTTTTCTGAAGAAAGCTTAGAAGGGTGTGTTTGATTTTTTTAAAAGCTTCACTAAATTCATAGATGCTTTCAAATGGCTTAAAAGTGGTTTTTAGATCATGATAATAATGTGTAGTATAATTTTACTTTTACCATTGCCTAAAAATCTAATTTTTGTAAACGAGTAACTTTTGGCTGAACATTTCCAAGGTTCTTTTTAAGTTTAAAGAGTTTTAAGACCTATATCAGAATCTAAGAGATCTTCATTTATATTTGAACTTTAATTCACAATGAACTGCCACACTTGACAGTACTGCACCTCTTTCCTGTAGCCTTTCTGAGATAACCAGCTGCTAACTCACAAGAATGTGACCTAAGTGAGTCTGGTGTCTAATGTAGTATTACTGCAATGTTTCTTTAAAAATGTGTTTTTATTTGTATGAAATCTACTCTCTCATCTATTTGTTTTATAAGATATGATTTGTTTTTAAATATATGGTGATCTCAATGGACCGCACTTTGGAATCCATGCCCTTGCGCAGTCCTCTTCTTGGTTGATGGCGGTGTAGCTCATGACTTGCTTTAACCAACAGAATGTGGTGAGAGTGATACTGAGCTGTCCCATGACTAGCCTTTAAGAGGACTGCTTCCTCCTCTTGCAGTGTTTATTTTTGGGAGCCATGGGCTGATATAAAAGCAAATCCATACCCTGTTGAAGAGATGGCTCTGAGACTGTGTGGAGAGAGGGAGAGGCCCAGCGAGCTTGGTATTGCAGATGAGCCTCCGGATGACTCCAATCCTAGCTGTCATCTGACTTCAGCTGCACGTAAGATCTCAAAAGAGATCAGCAGAAGAATCACCCAGTTGAATCCAGCAGTCCGTAGAAGAGACAGTAAGATGCCCTAAGTTTTGGAGTACTTAGTTATGTAACATAGTTAATAATATATGACAAACCTGTTAACTGTAAGACTCCAAATGAAAGGAAAATGAATTGGTCTCCTCAGAATAATTCATGCAACTACCTTGAAGAATGTTTGCAGGAAAGTAAGTTGTCAGTACACGGAAAGTAAAACACTTAGTATCTAGTTAATGAGTAGCATTCTTATTCTTGATCAAAGAACTCATCAAAAAGTGGGAGTCTCTCTGTCCTGGTCCTCACCAGTGCTCGTGGCTTCTTCTCATCTTCCCCCAACTCCTCTGAGTCAGAGCTAGCACTGTCCCAAAGAAGCTGTCCCCGGGCTTCTTGTTCATGGAGCCATGATTCCATTTTGCCAATTTTCCGAGAACAATAGTCATTCCTTGCATGATGTTCCCAAAACACTTCATTTGAATTTCCTACAAAAATTAAAAAGCTTATTTAATCACAATTTTTCCCTAACAATGATTTATTTGTTTGCCTAGATTTTCACAATCACTGAATAATCTGCTTGTTATTTTTGAAATCTATGGATTTGCTCTCTCCATCTATATGATTTCTCAACTGGTGTCTTCATAAGCATTAAAAATATTTTTCTTGTTATTTAAAAAAATTTTTAATCTTCTCAAAGTCACACAAATAATATAATACACACCTATATATACCCCAACCCACTGACAACATTTTGTCAGGATATTGCCTTATTAATATATATGAAATAATGTATATATAACACACACACACATATATATATATATATACATATGCTTTTCAGCTGAACCATGAGAATTAGTTGAAGAGTCACATCCCCCCCCAAATATATCACCACAAATCCAGGAACAAGGACAATTTTCCCACATAATCACAATACAATTTTTACACTTAGGAAATTTAACATTGATGTAATACTACTGCTTTCTGATATATGGTCCATATTCAAATATCTATGGTTGTTCCAGTAATACTCTTTATAACTGCTTTTTATTTGCCCATTTGTGTTTTTAGATCCAGGGTCCAATACAGGATCATGCACTGCATTTTATTTTCTTGTCTCTTAGTAGCATTGATTCAAGAACACTCTGCTATCCCTCTCTTCTCTCCTTCCTTGCTTCCTTCCCCCCCACCCCCCGCACTCTCCCCCACTCTCCCAGGCACTCTCATCTCTGCCCATCTCTCTGTGTGTCCTCTTGTTCCTGCTCTCTCTCCTAGTCCACTTCCTTCTCGCCTTCCTCTGCCTTATCTTCCTCATTCTTTCTATGCTAACATTTCAAAGAACCCAGGTCAGTTGTCTTACATATTGGCCCTAAATTTGGGCTTATCTGATTGTTTCCTTGTGATTAAATTAAAGCTAAACATTTTTGGCAAGAATATTGTACAAGTGATGTTGCCTAGTACTATTTATTGACTGTCTACTATGTGCTAGGCAGATGATGTATGCATTTTCTGTCTTTCACATCAAGTCTGACTTCATATCAGATTTACCTATGGAGCCCTTAGATACACAGATACCTGGGTGGCACCCCAGACCTATAGACTAGGGAGCTCAGGGTCAGGCATTTTATTTTCCATTGTTTTTTTTTTTGGAGAGATTTGATTGATTTTTTGGTGTAGAATTTTCTGTATGCATGTATGTCTTTACTTTAGCTTTTCACTTAAGCAGTGCTCCAGTGCCCTTTTAAAATGCACTTCAGAACAGGTTCTGAACATGGGTGTGTGTTGGAAGCCACAGGACAGCCTGAGGCTACTGAGCAATGTGGCCTGGTTGCAGTGTGGGTCTGGGTGCAAGAGTGGCAGCAGATGCAGCTAGGAAGGCAGGCTGCAGCTAGATCCTGAAGGCTTAGAGGATCACAGCAAGGTTTAGACTTGGTCCTCAGGCTGGTGGAGGTTCTCGAAAGGATGTTTTTTTAGCAAAAGAGTGATATGGTTGGATTTGTATTGTGTTAAGTTTCTCTGCAGTGCTTTAGGACTTTATTGAGCATAAGAACCACCTTGGGATCTTGATAAAATGCAGATCTTCACTCAGTAGATCTGCCGTGGTCCTGAAGTTTCATCCCAGGTGATGTAGATGCTTCTGGTCTGTGACAATTCTTTGATTACCAAATAAAGCAGTGGTTCTTAAACTTTACTGGTATAAGAATTACCTGGCCATTAAACCCAGATTGCTGGGTCCCACCTCTTCAGTTTCTGATTCAGCCACTGTGGCTGAGACCCTAACAATGCTGGTGATGTCTGGGGACCGCCCTGAAGGTGGAAGGAGATAGAAGGAGGGTAAGACTGGAGGGAGGGGTACAGCCCTGGTGTGACATGATGACCTAAGGGTGGTATTGGGAATGGGAGGGAGAGGGGAGATTTCAGCACTAGGTGACAGCAGCAGGACTTTGAGACTGACTAGGTGCAATAGTGGGAACATAAGGGCTGGAAAGGCCCTGGGTCCCTGGCCTGAGTGACACAGAGCATGGAGGTCTCACTTGCTGAGACAGTGGATGCAGCAGAAGCCTGGATGGGTAGCGATGCTGGATTGTTTTGGGCATTCTGAATGAGCAGAAGAGGGGAAAGGGTGGGGAGGGGGAGAGAGTGTCTGCATATGCCACCAGACTGACTGATACCAATTTGCCATTGAGTACATCCCTATGTGCTTCATTCTCTTTTACCACAAGATGAGGCTCTTTTGCCTTTCTCCTCCTAGGGATGGAGCAAAGATTGCAATAATGCATGTAAAGCACAGTAACCCTCTTAAAGGAGACATCCTACTATAGTTAAGTTTCTGTCTTTTCCTCCTGGCCATCTAAAATGATGTGACAATATGATCATTACATTCTAGGCTGCAGGACCCCAAGGCTATTTGCTATCCACTCCTTACTGCCGTTCCCACCAGGAGTTTATCTGATGAAGTTTTAAAAACACTTGAACTATTTTATTTTGCTAAAAAAATTATATGACTCACCCAGACTTCTCATCAAGGTATCACCAGATAGCAAGGTTAGGTCACCATCATTTCTTGGGATGCTCTGAAGGATTTTCTTGGCTTTATGGTCCCTCAGTGTTTGCTTACTAATTTTTGCCTCCTTGTGAAGACTTTTCTTCAACTCCACTTGGGCCTGAAAATGACCAGCTATAAATGATTATTGCTCTCTTCACCGAGCTGCTTTCACCAGCGTAGGAAAACAAATTGGTCACTTTGCAAATTATGTCTGTGTCTGTCCCATTTATGGTCTTCTAGGCAGAACATGGGTTGTTTTTTCTTATTAGAAAGTACAGAAACTTTCTTTGTGCACAGGTTTCTTAGGAGAAAGGATAGTGTACCCGAAAAGTCTCAGGAAGGTATGGCTTGATTAAGATGAGAACCCTTATAAAAACATGTCTCTGTAGGCCAATTAATATGTTTGGAATTGCAGAAGACAGTAACTTTAGGCTTATTTCCTAGAGTGAAGAATTTGGAATATGACAGAGACAGGAGACATTACTTTAAAGGTATTTGTTACAACAGATCTTTTTTATAAGATAACTCTAGTGCATGAATTATGGAGAAATGCCTAGGTATCAAACTTAAGAACAACTCCCCCTCTACCTTTTACTAAACTGAGAAAAATTATCTAACCTGGTTTTCTCATAGCCAGAATGTCATAGGGGCAATTTATTTAAAACACAAAAGGAGATACTTGAGACACAGATAGATCTTGAGAGAACTGAAGCCAGAGAAAAGACTCCGAAGGATTGGTAGCACAAGAGAGCTTGCTGATTCTTCCCAGCTCCAGTGGTTGGAGATTTGGCTCCAATGACTATATTTAAAATGCTAGGTAAAGACTGAAGATAAATACATAACCATATTCATGTGCCAGGGCAGTGATTTTGTAGAGTAAACTTGGTAAATATGACATTCTTCTCCCCTCTTTTCAGATTTACCTCTTGTCTTTTATGGTTCATTTCCAGCATTTGCATCTTATGTAAGTATTGTCTTTTCCCAGAAGTATACATTGGAGTTTGCATCTTCTGTTCCAGTTCCTGCTATGAAAGATGGCACAATCATTAGTATGGGGATAATTTGTTACTGACTCTGCAATCCACAGCTTGAACCTTTGTGATACAGAGTGAAATATTAATCAGTCAATCATCAATCATAATCCATTGAGATCTCTTGGGGTGTTGAAGGTGGATCACTGCAGTTTCCCTTGTCCTTTGCTCTGCTATCAGTGAATGAAGTGGTGCTTTGCTGTGTATGTAATGTAGAGTTTCACGAACCTTGAGTGAAAATATCTTCCCACATCTCATTGGGACAAGATATCACTTCCCCTGTCAACAGCTGCTTATTACTATCTCCCCAGAAATGTGTTCTGGTTTGATGACACCTGACCCTCTCTCTGCCTCTTCGGCCATTGGCTAATTGTCTGGCTATGAAATTAGAGGAAAGACACCGAATGGTTAAGTGGAACTTATTTCTGAAGTGTGTACCAGTATAAGCCCTTGTATATTTTAGGTTAGGAAGGATCTGGGTTGCAACTTGGCGATTTTGGTGATCTCCCTGTCGTGCATCATGAATTCTGATGGAACAGTGCAGATAGTTTTGAGGGCAACCAGGGATGGGTATGCCCTCATTCCTCATTTTCTGTGGCCAAGAAAGGGAAGGGATATGGAAGCCAAATGTGCTCAGCGATATCTTCCATGCTGGCCTGGATCAGTGACTATGTGGGCTGACAGGAGCCCATCCCTGCAGGTGGCCTGCAGGATCTAAAGTTACCTGGGCCTCTTTTACCAAATCAGCCAGGTGCATAGCAGCGTCTAGCTGGCTCCAGTCAGGAGTGGAAAGTGTTGAAAATCTACTACCTCACAGTTTTCAGTTCTACCTGAGAGGAGTTTTCTCGGCAGAGTTTGTAAAAGGAAAAAGATCAGACGACCCTTTCCAGGATGACTTTTTGGTGATTTTGTGATAAATAAGCTCACAGATATGATTTCCCCTGAAAACTGGCCACCTGAGGGGAGGAATGAAAGAGAAGAGTGATGCTGGGTTTCTCAATTGAACACTTCTAGAATTTCCAATGCCCAAGGACTACTCCTCCCTCTCATCTGCAGCTCCCTGTTTTCTCCCGGAGGCAGAGATGGGCCCATCGTTCATCCGAGAGGCCAGAGTAATTGCCAGCTGGAGACAGGCCCGGAAGAGAACGGACAGCTTTGAGGAGACCTAACTGAATAGTTTAATTGCCTGATTTGCCTTTGAAGTCTTCTGTGAAAACGATAGTCAGTCCCCCGCGACCCAACCCCTCCAGTTGTTGCCAGAGCTCACCTTTGCTTTGTGAGCTGTCCTGGCTGCTTGCTGGCTCAGGAGCCTTTCAGAAGTAATTACTTGCGGCAGGTCAGTGGGTTCAAGCTTCTAGAAGTCCAACATTTAGAGCATTCAGCATTCCTCATACCAAGAGATGATGAAACATAAAAGCCAGATATTAAACTGTCTTAACACCTTGCAAAAGCAGCACTTACTCCT